TGTTTTGGAAAATAAAATCTTAGAAGGGCCCAAAAGGTTTAATTGGGCTTTATCGATCGACTGTTTAGCCCAAGCCTTTCTATTAAACCCGAAAAAATGTAAAATAAAAAGGAGAAAAATGGAGAAGGATCAAATTACACGTACAGAACTCTGAGCTCTCTCTCTTTCTCATCCTGTGCTCAGAGTAGCAAAAGCCCGAGGGTTTATCTGGGGTTTGGATTCCCCGTTCCCGCTGTTACCATGGCGAAGCCAACGCGAGTCCGCCGTTCGCCTTCTGTTTCTGGTTCTGGCTCGTCCTCTAGGTCCAGGTCGCCTCCTTCCAGGTCCCGTTCCTACTCCGGCTCAGACTCGCGTTCCAGCTCTCCCTCAAGGTCGGTGTCTCGGTCTGTATCCCCCTCTAGCTCTCGCTCGAGGTCAAAATCCCTCTCCTCTTCCTCTCCATCTCGTAGTGGCAGCTCTCGAAGCCGCGGCCCTCCTGCTCAGCGTCGAAGGTCAGTACTCAGTGGTACTTCTTCCCTGCAATTCTTTGAATTTGTTGTCAGATTTTAGCTCTTTACTCTAAATTTTCTTAATGTTGCTATGTCTACGTCTGATTGGAGTCATAATTTGATGTCTTTGCTGTTTTGGTTGCTGAGGAAGTGAAGCAGGAAACAAATAGAATTTCACTAGAACATGCTTAGCTTGCTTGCTACATATGGTCTATGTATTTGGATGTGAAAGAAAAGAAATATGCCCCAATGCTATAATCATTTGAGCATGCATTTTTTTTTTTTTAATCATTTGAGATTTTAGAAGCCAATTATCCTTTCCCCATGCCTGAATGCTAAAATCTGAGTTTCTTGAGATGTTTTCCACATGATTTGGAGAAGTATTAAATGGGGTTCAATCTGAATCTGATTGAGGGTAAATCTAAAATTGTGAGTTAATGAGTTGACAATGTTATATACTCGTTGGGTTAAAGATTTTGACAGCAGTATTCTAATGTTCTCCATAAGTTGGGAATGTCGATCTGCAGCTATGTGCTTTATCCAGTTTAATTATGGTTTTTTGGATATTGTAAGTGGCCTTATAATTTGTTGTTCCTGATTGTGATCCAGTGGAAAGTCTGATGCTTTTATATCTGTTTTCTTTGTCATATAGCCCTGCTAAAGTAGCTAAGCGAGGCCGGTCACCCCCACCACAATCTAAGAGAACATCTCCACCTCCAAGGTATATCGCTACATTTTTCTTATTGGTTTAAGCAATTTTTTAAAGTTTTGTGAGCATTTTTCTTTGTTCTATGTTATGCTAAATGCATGCTTGTTTGTTAGAAATAGGAGATGAGTGTTGCAAAATATTTATAATTAAATGCAATTAGAAGATTACTAAAAAAACCCTGTTATAGTTATTTTTGATCATATAGAGGTTTGTCTTGCTAGAAACAGAGAAAATCATATTATCCTATTTCTTTTCTAGGATCTGTTAAGTAAAATGTATTTCTGTGTGCTGTGTGCATTGGTTTATGTATGCTCATATGCTCACACATATTATTTATTTGGTGTAAGTATAGTATTGATGTAATTGTTAGTAGGAATTCTCTTTCATTTCTCTTTAGTCTTCCCTTTTCTTTCTTTCTTTCTTTCCATTTTTTTTCTTTAAGCCATCAACAACTGCAGAGGCTTGATGGAGTATAGGACACCTTTTTGGCTTTTACTCAATTATTTTTATCTTTTCCATTAAATGACTTTTGTGGGGAGTGATATAGGCAAGTCTTGTTTTACTTTTAGTAAAGTTCATAGAAGTTTGTCAGCTTTAAGTTGCTCTGTACATACTTATTTTGTTATTAACAATTCATTTCAGGAAAGTTTCTCCTATTCGCGA